GTGTAGTTTGCTGCGTAGTATCGACAATAGTTGTTGAATCGTCTATATCTTCGTCTGTTGTCGTTTCATCTGATAATTGATGTGTAGTTAATTCATCTGGTGTAGTTTGCTGCGTAGTGTCGATAATAGTTGTAAAATCGTCTAAATCTTCGTCTGTTGTCGTTTCATCTGATAATTCCTGTGTAGTTGATGCATCTAGTGTAGTTTGCTGTGTAGTATCGACAATAGTTGTTAAATCGTCGAAATCTTCGTCTGTTGTCGTCTCATCTGGTGATTGCTGTGTAGTTAATAATTCATCTGGTGTAGTTTCCTGTGTATTATCGACAACAGTTGTTAAATTGTCTAAATCTTCGTCTGTTGTCGTTTCATCTGATGATTGTTGTGTAGTTAATTCATCTGGTGTAGTTTGCTGTGTAGTATCGGCAATAGTTGTTAAATCGTCGAAATCTTTGTCAGTTGTCGTCTCATCTGGTGATTGCTGTGTAGTTAATAATTCATCTGGTGTAGTTTCCAGTGTAGTATCGAAAATAGTTGTTAAATCGTCCAAATCTTCGTCTGTTGTCGTCTCATCTGGTGATTGCTGTGTAGTTAATAATTCATATTGTGTAGTTTGCTGTGTAGTATCGACAATAGTTGTTAAATCGTCTAACTCTTCGCCTGTTGTCGTTTCATCTGAAGATTGCTCAGTAGTTAATTCATCTGGTGTAGTTTCCTGTGTAGTATCGACAATAGTTGTTAAATCGTCTAAATTTTCGTCTGTTGTCGTTTCATCTGATAATTGATGTGTAGTTAATTCATCTGGTGTAGTTTGCTGCGTAGTGTCGACAATAGTTGTTAAATCGTCTAAATCTTCGTCTGTTGTCGTTTCATCTGATAATTCCTGTGTAGTTGATTCATCTAGTGTAGTTTGCTGTGTAGTATCGACAATAGTTGTTAAATCGTCGAAATCTTCGTCTGTTGTCGTCTCATCTGGTGATTGCTGTGTAGTTAAGAATTTATCTGGTGTAGTTTGGTATGTAGTATCGACAATAGTTGTTAAATCGTCTAAATCTTCGTCTGTTGTCGTTTCATCTAATGATTGCTGTGTATTGACTTCATCTGATGTAGTTTCCTGTGAAGTATCGACAATAGTTGTTAAATCGTCGAAATCTTCATCTGTTGTCGTCTCATCTGGTGATTGCTGTGTAGTTAAGAATTTATCTGGTGTAGTTTGGTATGTAGTATCGACAATAGTTGTTAAATAGTCGTCTATTGTCGTTTCATCTAATGATTGCTTTTTAGTTAATTCATCTGATGTAGTTTCCTGTGTAGTATCGACAAAATTTTCGTCTGTTGTCGTCTCATCTGATGATTGCTCTGTAGTTAATGCATCTGGTGTAGTTTGCTGTGAAGTATCGACAATAGTTGTTAAATCGTATAAATCTTCGTCTGTTGTCGTTTCATCAGTAGATTGCTTTGTAGTTAATTCTTCTGGTGTAGTTTGCTGTGTAGTATCGACAGTAGTTGTAGATGTTAAAGTTTCTGTATTGGTTTCCTCTTCAGTAAACACACACCACGTCGTTGATTCGTTTATAGTTGTTGCTTTGTCTGTAGTAGACTGTTGTGTACTTGACTCATCTGTTGTAGACTGTTGTGTAGATGACTTAACCGTTGTACATCGTCGTGCTGTTATAAAAATAATAATTTATTTTAAGAAATAAAATATTGTAAAGAAATAAAATATATGTATGAAATATGATAGTATACGATAAAATGTATTGTCATAATCACAACTGTGACTTAAAATTTGGTTCTTTAATATATAGCGACCGTGAATTAAAATATAAACTCTTTCCCACTTGACACCATTCCATTAGTTTTGAAAGAACAGGGTTGTCTCCGTTTCATTTTATTAGTTTCAAACAACAACAAAAATAATACATCTGTTGTCGTTTCACCTGGTGATTGCTGTGCAGTTGATTCATCTGATGTAGTTTCATGTGTAGTATCGACAATAGTTGTTAAATCGTCGAAATCTTCGTCTGTTGTCGTCTCATCTGGTGATTGCTGTGTAGTGAATAATTCATCTGGTGTAGTTTCCTGTGTAGTATCGACAATAGTTGTAAATTCGTCTAAATCTTCGTCTGTTTTCGTTTAATCTAATGATTGCTGTGTCGTTAATTCATCTGGTGTAGTTTCTTCATCTGGTGTAGTATGCTATGTAGTATCGATAATAGTTGTTAAACCGTCTAAATCTTCGCTTGTTGTTGTTTTATATGATGATTACTGTTTAGTTAATTCACCTTGTGTAGTTTGCTGTGAAGTATCGACAATAGTTGTTAAATCGTCTAAACATTCGTCTATTGTCGTTTCATCTGATACTTGCTCTGTAGTTAATTCATCTGATGTAGTTTGCAGTGTAGTATCAACAAAAGTTGTTAAAGCGTCGAAGTCTTCGTCTGATGATTGCTGTTGATTTATATAAATATATGTATATGTATGTATGTATATATATATGTATATATATATTTATTTAATATATATATTATATATATCTTCAATATATATATAAATTCATATATTGTGTGTGTGTGTGTGTGTCATGATATAATAAAGATACACTCTAAGCCACCCAAAAACGTTGCATCGTTTTCCTGTGATTTGAGACCACTGTTAAAACTTCGGTCTGCCAGATCATGACTCACAGGTGCTCTTATGATCTTGGTATGTTATTAGTCTATCAGATTCAGATTTCTCTATAATTTCCAAAAGGAAATTAGTAATTATAATAACGTCTAATTTTGCAGGCGATCGATATTAATTTCCTAGTAACCATATTAAAGGTTGTTTAAAGAAGAGTAGTATCGTTAATTATATATTTTACATCCAGTTAAAAAGAACAGATGCTCTTGACCACAAAATAACACTTTACCAAAATTTAGTTAAAACTGCATACATGGTACTGGTCAGTCAAGAAGTAATTTAACGAGTTTGCAGATATACTTTATATATAAAAACGTATTTTATAAGTACACTGGGACTGAAATTTTGCACCTAAAATAGGACAAAAAATAAAAACACTGATCCTAGGAAAAACTGGAACCAGTTCTTATCAAAAAAGAAAGATTAACAACTTTTGACTAATAAATTACCGTTGATCTCAATTGTGAACACCCCATATTATGTAAAGGTGTATTGTTCTGCTGCACAACCATGGACCTAACTGTGGATAAAATCGGGCTTGGTTTCATCTACAATTCGTCCTGGTTACCCTGTCGTTACACCCTATCCACAGGCCTTTCAGCGTGGCTGGGGCAACACGTCGTCAGGCAATACTGCCCAAAAATAATTACTGGTACCCTGTTGTACCTCGCAACACTCATTTCAGATTCAGTGAGTTTACTTCACTGAAACGTGCCTGTCAGCGGCTGGCTGGGGCTACGTAGTGAAAACTATTTTCTTCGATATTGTACGTTTAATTGCGAAATCCATTAAGTCTTTAAAATGCCTGTCAGCAGTTGGCTGGGGCAGTTTACGCAGAACACTACTATGTATATTAACTTTTATTTTATTTTTGTATTTATGGCACTGCAATAAACAGCTGGCTGTGGCATCGCAGTGAACAAAATTCTCCTCGATACGGTTCACAGGATAACTCCACTGTTTAGAAACAGGCTTGTCAGCAGATGGCCGGGGCCGTTTTCAGCAAACAAGGTCTTTAATCATTATTTTGGTATTCCCAGTAGGCCTACATTATTTTAATAAACTTTAAATCAGAGGTTTAGATTATGGTCATGCTTTAATAAATTATTTTTCACATAAAAGTTCGGCATACGCATCTGATAAGATGACCTTAAAAACCTAAAAATTAGTTAGAACGTTTCAAGTAAACTTGAAAATTACGCATGCTGAGTAGCTAGATTTATATGGTTACAGTAAATGTAGGTGTGATTCGGTCGTAATCCCTTCTCATACGTCTATATTCATTTGGCCATGGCCTTGCTGCCTGCGTTGGGTGCTGACCCTTTCGGGGTCAGTGGCGCTACGGCACCCTGCCGCTTGGCTTGTTGGCCAATTTTTAAGAATTTTTACTATGGAAATTAATTTAGGGACCGATCGTGTGCGACGGTCCATTTGACTTTTGTCGTAATAAATCACGACCGAATCACACGATATCTGATCATATGTTACTTTATTGTGTACAGTGTATTGAGGGTGACGGTCAAGAGTGGGTGGGGCCTTATAGTTATTTCTTAGCCCAGTAGACACAAATAAATTTTCCGACACCAGCGGAAAAACTCTTTGTGTCAAGGGGCGTAGGTACACCCCAATTGGTGTCACTCGGTCGGCGTAATAATTTCAACCTATTGCATTTCCTCGTGTGGAATCATAACCGGATCCCTTTTCTCGTTGCGGATTGTAATTACTTCGCTCCGTGCACCGATAACTCCTTGGAAATTCTTTTTCCCGCCTGCCATCCCTTCCTCCTCCAATACACTAGGGCGCTACGGCACTCTGCCGCTTGGCTTGTTGGCTACTTTTTAAGAATTTTTACTATGGAAATTAATTTAGGGACCGATCGTGTGCGACGGTCCATTCGCCTTTTGTCGTAATAAATCACGACCGAATCACACGATATCTGATCATATGTTACTTTATTGTGTAAAGTGTATTGAGGGTGACGGTCAAGAGTGAGTGGGGCCTTATAGTTATTTCTTAGCCCAGTAGACACAAATATTTTCTTTTAATGGTGATGCTGATTTTGGTTGTTTTTTGTTTTTTTTTCAGTGTGATCGTTTCGCTTATTTCTCCGTGTTTCATTGGTGTTTCCGCTAATTACATTTTAATAAAATTATGATATTTTAATAATATGTGAGCCACTCGAAATCCAGTTATGTTTTACTGCAATGAGTTTTGTAATAAAAACAGAATGAATAAGAATAGTTTTAAATTGTAGTAATTATTTGGAAACTTCCGATTCAAGTATTTAGAGTATGTTGATAAAAAGTAGGATTAGTGACGTCAACTATCTACCATATTGACGAAGCTTAGCACAGCTAGAATCACCCAAAATAAAACTAGCACTAAAGTCAAGTTACAAAGTGAACTTAAAAAACAAATACATAATGAATAATATAATGACCAAATATTTATTTGTTTGATATACATAAATTTATATATATATATATATATATATATATATATATATATATATTA